ACAAGGCATAGTTTCATTTCAAACGGGCTCTCTGAACTCATGTGGGCTCTGTCCCAAATTAATTTTCCTGACGTTTTCCCTGATCGGCCCGTTTCTTTAGACATCTCTCCGAATCGGTGGGCCTGCTCCAAATCGATTGGCTGACCCTCTACCCTCTGCCCTGCTTGACACTCCCCGGCTGATATGACGGAGCTGGCTCAGCCTCAGCTGCCCCCCTCCCCACTCACCCACCAACGGTAACCCCTCCCTTTTTACCCTCACCCAGCCTTGCTGCAGAATTTGACTGCTGGAGCTGGTGGTGGTCCCATAGACCTCTGGCTCTCTTGAAGTCACCATGCACAAGATGAATAGCTTCCCCTCTTACAGCTTCAACAGGAGACGGGTCGGTATTCTCACACCTGCCTGCGTGACCTTGCAGACGTTTCCTGATGTGTTTGGGAATTGAACCCCACTGCCAATCACAGGGCTCGGTGGTGTACGCCTATCGGCATTTCACGTGAGCCGCCACCTGATTTACCGCACTTTATAATTTTTTTTTCTATTACTGTAACCTAACCACCATCTTAGCCTCAAAGCACACAAGCACATCAGACGCACACACACACACACTGAAGTTGTAGGGAATAACATCCACATTCATTAGGCTAATGCACAGCTGTGGAAAAAACACATTTTCCTGGTGTTTTTATGATTTATTGTGCAGCAGAAATGTGAAATTGTGTATACGGGATATTAGTTATTTAAGTGATTTAGAGGTTGGCAGAGAGTACTTTTCCTCCTCGCTTCATGATTTATGGTTATTGCAAAAATGTGAAATTGAGTATATGAGTATAAGCATATTACCTTATGATAATATAAGTAATTGAAGAGATTTAGGAGTCTGGGGAGGCTGGGTGTTGCATACACAAGAGGCGGTGAAGAAAATGGGAATGGCAGCTTATCAGGCTGAAATCATTCTGCAAGCAGAGGTGACACAACAGTAAATTTGGCTTTTGTGGCCAGTGGCTTCATATTGTTTGGCTCTTGATATATTTGATGGTATATCAGAGGGATATGAAATGTACGAGTTATGAGATGTCATATCATTCTGATGTGAAATATGGTGATAGCCAGTTGTGTTATATATAAAATTGTTTGGTTATTTTCACACGTTTCTGTAGCCATAAATTACCCATAGCCATTATGTGGTTAAATGCATTCCCTTATTATACTTTCCTATTAATCTTGGAAGAACAGATAAGGGTGAGAGGTCAGCCTTAAATGGATTTGGTTTCCTTCGGCTGGTCTCTCCTGCTTCAGAATGACTCTGAGCAGTGCTTTCAATCAGTGCTGCCACCACTCACTGTGGTAATGATGGCTGGGGCTTCATTAAGAAGCTCGTTAAGTCCCCTCGTTAAGCTGCAGGGCCGTTAAAACTTTGATTGTTAATGGCTCTTCGTTAAGGGGAGTGAGGAACCGGGCTCCCGTGGTGGTCCCGACCAGCCGGGTGTTTTGGCCAATTGGCCCCAGTTGGCCTCCTTAGAAGATGAGAGGAAACCTAAATACTGTGTAGGTCATAATTTAAATACTTTTTAATGAACTTTTGAGACCCTGACTGCAAAAATACTTAATTTGTTCAAATATCAAAACCTTTTGAACCTGCAAATTTGCACTGGTGATGGACTAAAACAAATAATTAGATCTGGAAAACAAGTGAAGAGAAAATTAGTTTGTTGTGGCACTGGTTTATATGCAATGTCTTGGCCCATTGTCAGCTGTGTGCAGATTTGTGTGTGCAGATGCAGATTTTTTAAAAGACAGTGATTAGTAAAGTGTCTTTCTAATACATTTTTTGCCTCATTGGTGCTTTGCACAATTTCCGCGTGTCATTTTGAAATACACTGAAAGTGAGGTGTGCACCAGTTTGCCTGAATGTTTACAACACTGCCTCTAATAGGGTTGCTATATTGTACCGAGGGTATGAGGTACATGGAGAGACCATTTATCTGCTTTATTACTATAGGTGGTGCAATAACATATATTTGAGTTGGGAAATCTGATCTCAAGTGGTGGCTGGAAGTTCATCCATATGGATGCCATGTATGGAGTGTGTTCGACAGAAATGAGACATGCCATAATTGAATTTGCACGGTCAGGTCCTAATTGGGTTGTAAATAATGTGCCTTGTCAGAGTTTATGTAGGTGTTTTGTGAGCTCAAAAGCAGACAGGCAGTGAGGAACCAGGTTCTAAAGCAAAGGTAAAATCAGGCGGCAGCCCAGGGACAAGCATTGTAGTGAAAGACTGGTAAAGAGTTTGTGCTTATGGGCAGGTAGAGATAAGGAGTGGCTGAACTGATTAGGGGGAGTGACAGGCTAGTCATATAACTTGGGAACAGCTTTCTTCACAATAGTATAGGTGTAGTAAAAGGTGTAAAAAAAATAAATATATAAAAAAGCATTAATTATGGCCCGATTCATTTTAACACCTTTTTTTCAGAGTCGTGAGACTGTGGCTTCCTTCATACTGTAACTCATTGAGATACTTGAGTGAAACTGAGGCATCTTTAATGTCATTAGCAGCTCTTGAGCTTTTCATGCTGTGACTACTCAGAGTCTGCTGTGAAAGAGGCCCATTCAATGAAGGTTAGTGGTGGGAAGTGAAAGTGGGTAAAAGAGAAACTAATTAATAAAAGTAACATGATGATTCATTATTGAGATGTTAAGAATATTAAACACTCACTAAATTTTTGCAGTGGAAAATGTCAGCAGCGAGTTGCATCATAATCAACTTGCCTCCTAAATGTCTCTGTTTTGGGACCCTACTCATCCACGTGCACAGACAGAAAGCCAAAAGTAGGGAGGCGTCGGTAAGAGGCCATGACAAATGGAAGCAGGGATCCTTGACAACAGATATGGCAGTAATATGACCAAATCAAATCATACACAACATGGAACTGAAATGTAGAGGTGGGTTGCAAAGCAGCTTGCAGATGTTCATCACCTATAGACAGGTTAAAGCAGCTTAAATAAAGCCTGCCAACTGAATGGTATCAGTTGGTATCAGATCATGTAGTCTAGCACTGAGGTCAGCTGATGTTTCTTCATAGTGTGCTTCAGCTAATGCTATGTTCAGTTTGGGGGTTTTTTTTGTTTCTTTTCTCAGCCTGAGCTGCTGCCACTCCTTACACTTGGTCTCTTGGACAATTGCATCAAAATTACTCAGATTACTTGCCAAGGTGGTCTTGGCTACAGGGGCTACATGTTATTTGTAATGTAAATTCTAAACCCCAACAAGGACATATGAGAGAAATATGTCGGAAGTGATCCTTTTCCATCATGTCCTGTCACAAATGACTGGTCATCCAATTTCAAAGAGTTGCAAGAACCCATACATATACATGTTTCCAGTCAACCAGGCATTTGACTGGAGGTAGAAGGAGAAAATGTGCTGGGCCCCCAGAGACAATGAAGACAATTATAAACTCTGAACATAAATAGTCAGCTGGACATGCAAATGTGACAGACGTGAATGTTGATCTGTCTTGTCTGTCAATCCGTTTGCCCAAGGCGATCAACGTGCAGAGAGGGTCATACATAAAGGAGTACGTCTCCTATGTGATAACTAAAGTAGCTTAGAGGAACTAAGCTAACATGAAGATTTTTAAGCTAGTTATTGAAGGCCTTGCATTTTCATTTATAGGTCCATGAAAAGAAAAACATTCAGGAGAGCAGTGCATCTATGTCTAGCTTGTGCATTCTGCTCACGCAACGCTCTCTCATGTTGGTGGGTGTGCCTTCAGATTTTCCAATTTACGTTGTCATTAAAATACACAGATCTTCTGAAGGTGAAGTGCTGTTCAACTTTGTGCCATGCTGTTTAATTAGCTTTAACTTTTAACTGACAGTCTAGACTTATGACTGCCATCTTATTTATGAATAAGCCTTGTCACGTGCTTATCGTTTACCCCCCCTGAAGCTGGCACATCCACGCCATTCCCCCCCCCCCCACTTGAAAAATAGCAAGCCTTAAAGTAGATGAACATTTCGATTCGCAGTATCCATTCTCATTTCATTTAGCAAATGTGCTTAGCTGTTGCCACGCAACAATGCTTTCCTGAGCTAAACCCACCCATCCCCTCCCCAGTCGCCTCTCTGCTCTCTCCTTTCCATCTAAAGTCACAATGTCACACTTTCTTGCGAGCGGGGCCTAATTTAGCGCTCCTTTTTTTGGTCACAGTTTCTATTCGATCCACGTAGGTTTGGGGGTAATGAGATTGAATCTTGATGTGCTCACCACATCCCGCTGGCTTGTCTCTCGTCGGTCGCGGAGGACAGTGTGGAGCCTTCCCTGATATTACCTCTCCCTGCATGAGAGGACGCCGGTCGCTCTGCTGCTCTGCCATCCCGCTAGGCGCTGATCCAATAAACCTCAAAACAGGGCTGCGATCGATACTGCGTGTCCCATTGCCACACAAACTCCACCCTCACTTATACACACCTATTAGTTACAGAATAATTGATAGGCCTACTGTTTATTATTCCTTTGATTTGGTGCTTTCATTAAATAGCCAAGGCGTTGCATGTGCACAGACTAGTAAACTCTCCTCTTCCACAGCTGCTGGGAACTGAATGGGGGCTTTAAGCGTGAGTACTTGAGCATGTGTTCTGGATAGCTTTAAGATTAAGGAGATCCAGGTTCATAACTGCTCATACTGCAGGAATAGAAAGATGAGACACAGCACAATGGCAGGAAAGTGTGTCTGTGTGAGAGAGGGGGTATTGTGCCTATTTCTTTTGTCTGCTTCTTTTCAAATTCATTATATCCTAGAGGCATGCAGAAGATAATCTGCTTGTTTTTTGTCTTCACTGACTGGCTCAAAAAAACAAACTTAATTTTTAACTGGTGTTTACTCTTGTCTTTCTTCCCCACTGTTTCCTTACCATTTCCACCCGTTTCCTTCCTCTTTGCTTCCATTTTTCCCTGTCTTTCTTTTTTCCCATTTCTGTCCGTCCTCACTCAGCTCCACACTGACATGGACAGGAATGATGGACGCACAAAGTATGTCCTGCGAGGCGAAGGGGCAGGCTCGGTCTTCGTGATAGACGAGAAAACGGGTAACATCCATGTCACCAAGCCGCTGGACCGTGAGGAGAAGGACGAGTATCGTCTCATTGCCACGGCCACCGACAGGCAGACCGACCGTGCTCTGGAGCCCTCGTCACAGTTCATAATTCGGGTGCAGGACATCAACGACAACCCGCCTGTCTTTGATGAAGGCCCCTACAGCGCCACCGTACCTGAGATGGCAAATATAGGTACTGGGCGGGTGGAGGGTTAGTTTAGAGTTAGTTTGGGGGTAAGGATTAAACAGTGTGCTGTGCTTCACAGTGAATGATATGAGATAAATAAATGAACAGGTGCCTTTGACCAAACAGTTTTAGTGACTCATTGAGGGTAACTACCCAAGGGGGTTACTTACCTTTAATGGCTTTTTTTCTATTTCACAAAGCCAATAGGAACAGTAAGATGATGCCAGTTGGCAGTCAGTTCGAAACACCTTAATCAAAGCAGTGTGTGTCATATTGTGTGAAGTGGGTTTTGCAATAATAATGCAGTTATAAGGGAGATGTGTAGTTGAGAAAACCCATTTTGTGGTCTTTTAAGTTATAAAATGTAACATTACCAGATATTATTGTTTTTATATTAAGTATGCAAGGAGACACAAAGCATCCAGAGAGGCTTTCTCTGGCAGACTACAGCTCCTGGTGGTGGTAATGATAGCTAAAAGTCAGACTAACTAATCCTTTGTGCCCTCATTAGCAGCAAATGCTGTTCTGTGACCAAGGATAGCTTCCAATAAACCACACCAATTCAGACCCAATATGTGGTACTTTAATGTTAATGCAATCCTCTTTTGGCTTTTTTATATTATCTTTCATTTATGGTGTCCGTATGACCAGGTAGCAAGTTTAGGGGAAAAGCTAGCAGCTAGCTTTAACAAATTAGAATTGCGTTGCAGATCTGCCATTGAGTAAAAAACCTATAATAGACAACTATAGAGACAACTGTGCAACAAGCAAACAAAAGAATATTTTTAGGTCGTCTCAAGTAACGGTGTGCTACTGCTGACATGGCCCATGAAATAGAGTTGGTAGGGTAGGCTGCCACAGCTTCTGTGTAGCTGCTGGTAGACTTTTATCAAGATAATGCTTTTAAGACACAAATAATTGTGTTATCCTGATGAATTAGCGCCGTCTGTTAATGTTACACACAGTAGCAATGATAACAACATTAATATCACCATCTTATTATTAGCTATAGCATCTCAAAGATAACAATAGACATTTAATGTGGCTATCAGATAACTGCTAAAAGTACTGTAGCAAATGAGTACATAATCTTTCATTTATTTATTTTTTTTGCTATACATTTTTTTGACAACTCTGCTGTCGGCTCATTTACCACTGTTTTGTTTCATTTTTGAAGCAGTCTATAATTTATGCCACTAACGTCTTTCTATAGTTCCTCTGCTATTGTTTACACAGACTTTTTAAAGTCACAATACTGTCACTCAAGCTAAAAATTACCCCAGAAAGCACGTTCTATTAACTTTGATCTTTCAACAAGGATCCTGTAGTAAAGACACGGTGTATCTGATATCCCGTGTCTGTCTTGTTCCTGCAGTATCATAATAGTGCTGGTCCTTTGCAACTGACCAATCATATTGTTGCATTGTCATAGCTTTGCAGTGTGGGGGAAAGAAATACCTTTATGCAAACTCTTCTGGAACAAACTGTAAGCATTTCAAGCGCTTTTCTTTCTATTATTAATTTATACAATATAATAACTATTTTTATCAAGTTAAAGGTCTGCTGTTACAGTAGCCAAATTTAGGTAACTCATGCTTGTTTGCTAGCGATCCTTTTTAAAAGCATTAGCTAACTTCTTGGGTAATGCTAGGTGAATGCTCAGACAACTTCATTATTAAAAACACTAACACGGGGATATCAGATCGGGCATGCCGGCGCACAAACAAGGAGGAGAATCTAGAACTATGGAAAAGTTGCTCTGGTCCAAAAGCATGTAACAAAATATATGAACCAATTAATAATAATAATAATGGATTGGATTTATATAGCGCTATAAGGCACTCAAAGTGCTTTACAATGCCACTATTCATTCACTCTCACATTCACACACTGCTGGAGGCAAGCTACAGTTGTAGCCACAGCTGCCCTGGAGCAGACTGACAGAAGCGAGGCTGCCATATTGCGCCATCGGCCTCTCTG